AATAATAATAATAATAATACCGGTCTAAAGTCAGAACAACATGTCACGACCACAGAGTTTTGGAATTACATGTCTATGTTGAACGCAGACAAACTCATGTCCACAGGGGCGCTTGGAGAAATTTGCTGTAAAGAACAAATTAAAGTCTGCAGCCGCTGTGGAGAGATCCATTACGAAGCTGGTAACGCCTGTTCTCGTCTTTCGTTCTCACCAACGTTGCCATTAGCAACCCTTTGATGCTGCACTTGATTCACATCCAGACGAGCGGTCTGGCTTCCGGATCCGGGAGGGACGACGTTTTCCTTCCACATCTCGTGGAACTGCGTGAGTTTGCCGGCGTCTATCATGTTGTCGATGTCCGCCATCCTGATGGCTCTGTCCATTTCTGTCGTGGGCTTATACTCCCACAGTCGTAGCACGGGTCGGTCATCCCCCAAGTGACAGACGAGAAGAGCGCAGATGACACGATCAGGGGCGGCTAGCCCGTTTTGAATCACCATGGCCTTCACGAGACAGAGTTCGTTCACGTCCATAGGTCGAGGGGAGGCCATGCCCGTGACCTTGACATTGATTGCATACAAAATTCCGTCTTTACGACACAGAAGATCTACTTGGCCTGTGAGAACGCGGACGAAGTTGGACACCTTGACGTGAGCGGTTAGTCGAATATTAATCGCTTGGAACGAATCGAACCACGTTTCGAATTTTCTGTCGAAAAGTTTACAAAAATGTCCACAGAAGGAATTGTCGAGTTCGTCGCTGTGTTTGCCGTAGTTATTGTGAGGGAAAAGATCGACAACTCCCTTCTCCCGTAGGAGAGTCATCATGGAGTGGTAGAATTGCTTCCCTTGCTGTTCTCGCCCAACAGTGTTGAGGAAGTGCTGGTATTTTTCCCGCGTCTTGTCATGGTGGGTCAGATCTAGGCGGCAGGCTTCCCGCCGCGTGAGGAATGGATCCCACTTGACCTTTTTCTCTGGGGACGATGGAGAGATAGCGAGGAGCTGGTCAGTAGCAGATAAACAGTGGATAGTCTGAGATTTGTGGGGGTGACTAGCCTGAGTTTAACCAATGTGTTTTTACATCTTATGTGTGTTTTAGACTTGTATGGCCGTTTCTTTGGTAGTTTGTTTGTTTGTTTGTTT